AATTGCGGCTTAGAGTTCTAGAAGAGAGCTTGAGAGGATCTTCTAACAGTGTTAGTCGCAGTACATCAGATGGAAGAAGCATGAGCAATGGGCCTTCTAGGCGTCAGTCTCTTGGTGGAGCTGATAACTTCTCCAAACTTACGTCCAATGGGTTTTTATCCAAGAGATCCCGAAGCTCTCAATTGAGATCCTCTTTGTCTTCTAGTACAGTGTTGAAGCATGCTAAAGGAACATCCAAGTCATTTGATGGAGGCACAAGATCATTAGACAGGGCTAAAGTGCTTTTAAATGGAACAGGCTCAAATATTTCATTCAACCAGCCTTCTGAAGAAACCAAGGAGGATGAGTCACTAAATAATGAAAAACCCAATGATTTCCAGCCAGTGGACACAGAGGATAATGTTCCAGGAGTATTGTATGATTTGCTGCAGAAAGAGGTCATAGCTTTGAGGAAGGCTGGTCACGAGAAAGGTCAAAGCCTTAAGGATAAGGATGATGCAATTGAGGTTGATACTTGTGTTCTTTAAAGCCAATACCGTTTTAATTTATCCTTATGGATAAATGCTCTAGTAATCCTTGTATTTTTCAGATGCTTGCTAAGAAGGTGGAAACATTGACAAAGGCAATGGAAGTTGAGGCTAAAAAGATGAGAAGAGAAGTAGCTGTTATGGAGAAAGAGGTTGCTGCCATGCGTGTGGAGAAAGAACATGAGAATAGGGCCAAGCGGTTTGGTAACTCCAAGGGATCTGCTGCTCAGCTGCTTACTGGAAGGTGCTTTTATCGTTTATATAGTTTAGATTTTTATATTCCTCATTTTCCTATAGTGCTTTAGGCTAAAATTAGTCTCCCTATTGGTTTATTGCATTTATCCTTTATAAAATGTGGGGTTAGCAGCCATGGTGTCACCTGTCTTAATAAAAGATAGTGGACTTGTAACCTTGTTGGTCCATGCCCATTCTGCTGCTTGCTCATGACCGAATTGAAGTGGTAGCACAAATTGTCATCTAGCTGATCAACCTAATGGTTTTTTTTTTTTTTTTTGAAAAAATTAAAGTATGGAGCATCTCTACATACTTTATCATGCATTTTCTAAATCTTGTGATACCTCAAGCTAGCCTCATCTTTAGTTCCTTGACTTCACTGCAATATTAATTCCCATATCCAAATATAGAATTGACTCACATGTGAATCGTTTGATGAACTTGGCATTTTCTCTATTTTCTTAACATCTTTGAACCTATAGTCATAGATGGTAAATAAGAAGAAAGTAAATTAGGTTAAGCCAAACAAACTTTGGCTTTTTTGTATTTATGTGCAAGCGAGGAGCTGGATTGTGCTGTAGAAGTATCTGAGTAGATCTTGCAAAACCCTCAACTTTGAAATGGTTCACAGTGTTTGTTGACATTCAGAAAAGTTTAGTAATTTAGGCATTTGCTTGGGCACCGGACATGTCTACTTAGTGGGACCCTTTTATTTCACATCTTGAAAAATCAATTCTAATGGATTTGGTACTTCAAGTTGTAGTGATCAATTCTACGGATCCACTTGTTAATTCTTTTTGATTTTCTGCCTAATTGATTTTGGATGACTTGCTGACTAAGATTCAAGGCCTGTAAGATATTAATGTCACCATGCTAGTTTAGTTTTCATTGATTATATAGGTAGTCTATTGTGAATACCGATATGCAATATAGCTAACTAGTACTCAAATTCATGCAGAACTGTGTCTCGAAGTGGGTTAACTCGCAGCACCCAATGACAACAAATTTTAATTGAAGCAGTGGCAAGGAGTAAATTTGCACAGGTCTCCTGGGTCCTTTGTTTTGTTTTTTTATATATTTTTTTACCTCTCCTTTGGTGATTGGTTATAAGATTATAACTTGCATGCCGATGAATCAATGTTCACTGAAATCGGCAAGGAGAAGAAATCTGGGAGAAGAGTAAAATTCAGAGGAAGAAATCGGTTTGCTTCTGACATAGACTGCTTATTCCTCTGCTTAGAGATCAGCGAAAAAAAAAAAAAAAGATAAAGAGGAACATTATTGACTGTGGGCTAACCTTTTGTCAGGTTTTCTTTTGAGTGGCCAGTGGTTGTGTGGTTGTATAGGTAGCTTTATTGGCTTTTCCATCGTCTACTCATCCCCCTTTTGTTTTTACAGTTCATATTTGTAATCTGCAGCTAGTGTGATTTGTCGTTCAAGTTTGTTAATATTCTTGTAATCAGATCCTGTTGGTTGTGTTATTCATCAATAGTTACTTGCTTATAAATCTGGAACAATAATGACTTGGTTTGTGCTTGATTTTGGCACGAAATTAAACCTTATCCAAGAAAAACACAATATATAGGCAATGGCAGAATGTCGATCATCTCATCCGGGAGCTAGCACTTGTTGCCATCGATCAGAGTTGAACAAGGCTTAGCCCCATCACCGGTAGATCTTGGATGTATTTTTGCTAATTAAGAAAGCATTAATCCAGAATTTATACCAAGAAAACAATTTGTTGCCATCGGAGTTGAACGGTCGAGGCTTAGCGAATTGGTATATAAAGTTTTAATAGTTGATTTTGTTACTATTCTTCTGATTTTGTTTTGCTCACACTGACATAAATGGTGGTCGTCTAAGATCCTTTTAGAACTTTATGTAGAGTGCTTCAAAATCATTTTACTTCTCTAATCTCCTATACATAAAATCATTTTTATCTTCTGTAATTTCTGTTATAGTCTATATTTAATTCAGAAAAGTGCAGCTTATTCTTGTTTGGAATAACTTAACTTCTAAAGAACAAGCACACGAAGTCATATGTAAATCGGATCAATTGCCATCTCAGCTCTTCGTGTGGGTTGAGATTGTTTTGCAGAATCAGTTGTTCAGAACGGTTCAGGTTGAAGTCTTATTTTTACCATAGACGGAAATCCTAGTACCTTCACCAGACTGGTGCGCTGTGAAGCCAATTGGTATATGTGACTCTAAAGAGCTATCAATTTAATTCTGCCCTCTTTTGTATTTTTTTAAACCGAAAAAAGTTTAGAAGTAGATTAGGTTATTCCATCTCTAAGTTTAAGACAAATTACGAATCCATAAAAAGATTTACGAATTCTTCGAAACTTTTCGAATTTATAAATCGTCTGCTAATAAAAGACAGTAAAATTCGAATCTTGACGTTTTCTACTCACTTCTAGCGTAGAATAATTATATCCCAATCAGTCTGTAGGAAAAACAAGTTGTGTCAGACTGGTAGCTTGAAGGATATAATGGTATCTCACCAACATAATTGTGCAGTATTTGGGTTTAGTAATGTTAGAATTCTCATTATTTTTTACTCAAAATGAGTCAGTTAGTATTTTGCGCTGACTGGTTTGGGAATGGAGATGGACATGTACAGTTCCTGGATGATTGGTTGGACAGGACTTTACACACATGGGATGATTCTTTAGGTAGCCAGCAAATGCTAACGAGACGGGACAAGCCGTGCTTGGGGTTGGGGTATCAGATATTTGAGAGTAAGGCGTCAAGAAAATAATTAAGGTTCGGGAGCCTAATATCAGGAAGTTTGGCACTCAGTGCTGCCAAATGTAACTCCACTTTTTGTTCACATAAAACTTTTTTTTTATTTTTTAAAATTTTTGTAAGTAAAATTATTTAATTATTTTTTATTTTTTATACAAATTTTAGAAATAGATTTTGAAAAAATTATAAACTTTCTCGAAAATAAATTTTTGAAAAATTATATAAATTTTCAAAAGATTATAAAATTTTAGAAAATTAAATTTTTAGAAAGATTCATAATTTTTCTTAAATTTATTTTCAAGAAGGTTTATAATTTTTTAAAAGTTTAATTTTAAAAAAATTATATAATTTTTTAAAAATTTATTTTTGAAAAATTATAAAATTTGGGATGTATTTCACGACATTCTTTCTTTCCCATTACAATTAAGAGTGCCTATAATTTAGCTAATAGTGATGGGAACTCTTCTACTGGGCGATGACAATAGTATTTGGCAATTTAAATGAAAACTTGGAAACAGCCAAATAGGATGAAGGTATTTTCATGGTGGGCTTGTCATGACACTTTGCTCTCAAGGCTCAATTTGAGTAGGAGAGAGGGGTAGAAAAGTCCTCATCCTGTCTCCTCCCCCCATGTGAAGATCCCGAAGAAACAGTTGTATATATTCTGCTGCAACTACCGACATCGAGCTAAGTTCCAACTTTTCTGGTATAAGCTTATTTCATTAGGGAACATATCTTTGGCTGGTTTTGATCGTTCATGTTTGCAGCTGACAAATAGATGATAAGACAGGTTATATTATATTATTTCATCAATTGTCAATTTAATTTTTAAATTTCATAAATGAATTAATGATACATATTTTTAGTATATATTAAAAAAATAAAACAGGTCTAATACAATCTTTCCCCTATATATACATATAAAGATTTCATTTGATATGGCAAAGGAAAGTATGTTGGAGCTTGCCTTTGCAATAATTGAGACCAATAATTAACTAACTTAAAAAGATTTTCAAAAGGATAAACCAAATCAACCTCCATATTAAGAGGATTGACTTTTTGACATGTCTTTGTCATGTATCAATAAAATTACAAATTATAATCTTCAACTGATACTCTTATTTTTTTTTTTTTAAATCATATCCATAAAAACAAACTTTTAAAAATTTAATTTTATAAATTTTTTAAAAGTTTCAAATTTATTCAGTGTTAAAAATAAATAAAGTAAGAAGAGACACAAATTAAATTTGATAATTTATGTTATTGTATCGTATAAAATATTATATTTGTATTATATTTAAAAATTTATATTAATAAAAAAATAAAAAATAGATTTTTTTTAATTTTATTAAATTTATTTATAATTTTTATTAAAATTTTAAATTATATTATATTTATAATTTTTACATCGTATATTATACATCAATATTTTTCAAACCAAAATATATATTGCTTCTGTGGACAAATACTGGAATAGCTTCCCAACAAATCGGTTCAATTATCTTCCAATTTTCCGTGATCACAATATTTTTTGTGAAAGAAAAAGAAGAATTTATTTATTATAAAAATGGAGAAATGTTGCCTTCAGGTTTTGAAAATGAAACTTTAACTCTCAAAGCAACAGGCAAGAGCCAACCATTTGTTTATGTTACTCTCAGCTATCCACATTTCCTCTGCCTTCTACGCACCCTAATCTCTCTTTGTCATCTTCTACCGGTTTCTTCCATTTTGTCAAAGCTCAAATCTAACCTATCTGCCTTTCTCTCTTTTGCATTTAAAGTTTGAAAAACAAAAGGCAAAACTGGGTCAAACTCTTTTTCTTTTTTGATCTCAAGTTTTTTATTCACAATCTACCTCTAACAAGGCAAAGCAGGTTCTTTTTGAGCTAACATGGAGAAAAGCCAAGAACTTGCACTGACCCAGATGAGGAAATCAGTTGAAAAGCTTGGGTTTTCAACAGAGGTAAATAACGAATACCCTTTGTGATGTAAATGCAATTTTTTTTTACACTTCAATTTAGTTTTTTTTTTTTTTTTTGTAGAAATATGGGGATCCAACATTGATGAGGTTCTTGATTGCAAGATCAATGGACACAGAAAAAGCTGCAAAGATGTTTGTTCAGTGGCTGAAATGGAGGTCTTCTTTCGTTCCAAATGGATTCATATCAGAATCTGAAGTGCCTGATCAATTGGAAGCCAGAAAGATTTTTTTGCAAGGTTCATCAAAGATAGGATATCCAGTCATGGTTGTCAAAGCATGCAAGCATTTTCCTCCCAAGGACCATCTCCAGTTCAAGAGTAATTAGTTAACTCATTGGTTTCACTCTTCTTTATCATGATTGATCAATTCGCTTATACTTTACTGTAATTTTTGGTTATCCATAAGGAAAGAAAGTTGTTCATAATTCATGCATATCGATGGAGTTATGATTAGGCTTGCCTGAAATTTGATTCTGTTCCGATTGTTGAAATGATGACTTTTCATCTGGATTGTCCTGATATGAAATTGAAGGGGTCATGTCAGAACGGTTTCATCATAAAGGTGGTACATGACAGGGAGGCCAACAGAAAACTGCCGTCCAATTTTTTTAAAATCGTGTTTGTTGTTTGCGTAGCCCGTAAATGTCCTTCTAGAGAGTTGAACCCGTGGCCTCTGAAGTTTAAAGTATTCTATATTTGCACATAAACTTTATGAGTTATTAATAAATTAGAAGATACTACAATGTAGCTTATTCAAGATTCTATTACATTTTTGTTTGTCTTTTGTTGCATGCAAGTTTCCTTTTATCTTTCTTTTCTTCTTTTTTTTTAATTTTAATGTTTCCGAATTTTATTCTTTACATATCCCTGAGACCTCTTTGTTAGCTGAGGGTTTTGAGTTTATATTCAAGCATATTTCAACTACTTCATTCTTTGTAATGACCTGAGAATTGAAACAAAACCTGGAATTTTAGGGTCCTTAGTGCAACAACCTTTGAATTAAATGTCAGAGTAACATCTGACTACATAAATATATTGGTGTTCAATTCTTGAGGAACAGAAGATTTAACAAAGTTATATGACTGGCTCTGCCACTACTTGGTGAGTAACTGAGTATGACAGTTTATGGATGGTACCATGCTGCTGCTATGGTGTATGTGTAACATCATAAGATGATATGCTTATTTCCTTGCATTTGCCCTCCTGTTATCAGATGTTTTACCGTGGCTTCTTTGGTTATTTGCATATGCCCTTCTGTTATCAGATGTTTTACCATGGTTTCTTTGGTTATTGGGAGCAGAAATCTCCATTGACTTCATGTAACGTGCTAAGCCTACATCACTTGGTAACAGGCATTATCCTTCTGCCAAAGAATTTTACTACCAAAATGGTAGAATTATTTGAAATTGATTCTCTCTCATTATATGTTCATAGCACTGGCAGCTTGCGAAGTTTGATTAACTTTTTCTATCTCTTGATGCAGAGTTTGTGGTTTATCTTCTGGACAAAGCCATAGCAAGGTAGTTCTCCCTTTTAAACATGAAGAATGTTTTTGCGGTAAAAAAAAAAGAAAAACAAACAAAGGAGGTTGTTTTGGAATACAAGCTCAAAGGCTCATAAATTCATATATTTGATGCCCTTTATTTGCTTTATTATTATATTTTTTGAACCAGTGAGTTTTCCATATTTCAGCTCTGTGAAAGGAAGAGAAATAGGAAATGGAAAGTTGATTGTCATTCTTGATTTTCAACATATTACGTACAAAAATGTTGATGCACGTGGATTGATAACCGGATTTCAGTTCTTACAGGTAATCCTCTGTTTGATAAAGAACATTCCTTTATGTGGCTTATATAAGAGAAAGAGAACCAGGATAGTGCACGGCTGATAAGGAAAAAAAAAAGAAAGCTTGTCAAATTTTGCTGAAAGTATTTTGGATATCTATTAATATTAATGGTAATTTTTATACTTGTTAGAAGAGTTTTGTCATTCACACCTGTCATCCCTTAATGAATATAAGGGTGAAAAAGTGAGAGAATACCGGTACATATTCTAAACAAATGCAGAAATGACCTGAGCGTAGGGTTGACTCCATAGAAATTGATTCCACCTCCCCAGTCGATTTATATTTTAAAGGTGAAAGGTAAAATATAACTCTCAGGCCGTGAGGCAATGAGGCATGCAATGTGGGCCTGGCAACAACATGCAAAAAATGCTGGAAATTATAATTCTATCCAGCTCTCCCATTTCTAGACCCTACTTTTGGAATGGTTGGTAATGGCTGTTGTTTTCGTTCTTTTTCCCTCCAAAATGAACGGGTATACAATTTTTTGAGCCAATCTTTTTGTCCCACAGTTGCTTTTCCCTAATTCTCTTATCTAAATTATTTATATGTCTGGATTTTTGTGGTTGGTAATACATTCTGCTACTTGAAACTTGCTAGTTCTGGCTACTTATTTTGACAGTATGGAGAATAGAAACTGAATTCATTTTGGTTCTCCTTGAAAATGACATTCATTTACCTATCAAGCTGGTAAAAAAGCTCTTGATAAAGTTTCATGATTAAAATCTAAAAATCTTAACTTCAAAATAAACTCTATTATGTTTTTTTTTCTTTTTTCTTTTTATTGATCTTTTACTGTTATGAAATTTGGCCTCAAATCTTTCATGAGAAGCAATGCCAAGTAGAATGGCAGGAGGTAATGCTTACTTCATCCAAAATATCATTCAATGACATTATTTCCATGTAGGAGATGGTCACTTTTGAGTTACTGAGCTGTTCTTGATCTCAGTTATCATGCGTGCAAACAAGCTAAATGTTCCATGTGGGCTACAGAATAATATGGGATGAATTCTAAACTCCCCTAAATCCTGACTGATAATAAAGTGAATTATATCTAAGTCTAAGCTCCGTTTTGTAAACTTAATGCCTTTTTTTTCATAGTTATTTAGTCCTAATATTCACTTCGCGCAGGCTTATTTCCCAGAGCGCTTAGCAAAGTGCTACATTTTGCATATGCCACGGTTTTTTGTTAGTGTTTGGAGGATGGTTTGTCGCTTCATTGAGAAGGCAACAATGGAAAAGGTATGTACTATATTTTTTTCCTTAAAAATGATGGTTTTTAGAATCTTAGCAGAAGTGTTAACTCTTTAGATTGGTAATAAACTCACTTGCGCCCTTATGCATTATTAATGGTAGCGGATAATATGTTTTCTTGATACAAAGGATACCATTGTCTGAGATACGGAAAGGTTTCATGGTGGATAATATGTCTGCAGCATGCAATTTAGAGCATTATTATACCTGAAAAATAGGGATCAATATGCCCCCAACTGCCTAATTTGGCTTGTCTATTATGCCCAACATGGAATTTAGTTAATTTGGATTATGTTTTAGTGAACCAGATTATATTTTGTGATATCCAACTTGGCTTGTTTTGCAAACAATGAATGCAGATTGTAATTGTGACCAATGAAGATGAGAATAAATCCTTTATAGAGGAGATAGGTGAGGAAGCTGTGCCAGTCGAGTATGGCGGTAAAGCAAAGCTGACAACTATCCAAGATGTAGAAGCGCCCCCATTGGAAGGTTGATCCCAACAAAAGATGCAGGCAGCAAGTGTTCAAGTTGACTAATATGGTTACTGCAGCCATTGAAGGGTTAAACTTCCCTTAAAAAATCAATGCAGCTGCCATTAATCCACCTAATTCGAATATTATGTATGAATCATAGTTCCAACATGATGTTGGCTTCAATACAGTATCTTATCATCTTATTCTATAGCTACCATTTGAAAAATAACCTTTTCATGACCTTCTTTAATGGAAATATCATCTTATTAAACAAATTACTAGTGCCTTATTTTATATATTTTATTATATTTCAATCTGCCAAAAGGTTGATGATGTTTTGTTTGATTTCATTAGAAATGTGAAAATTATTTCATCCTTGTTAATAGAGTATTTAGATTCTATAAACAGGATTACAGGGACACAAATCTTAATAATTAAAATTTTTTTTAAAGAAAACATGTATCAATCTTTTAATTTTATTTATGAAATTAAAAATTTACACTAAAATTGAATTCAAAATAGAGATAATGTTTTGTTTAGAGATGTAAATAATACATTAATATTCGTAAATTATTCAGGTTTGACTCGAATAAAATTTAAATTCGATTTAGTTATTATTGAATCAAATTCGAGTTCGAATAGTTTGATTTATCAATCGAATTGAGTTCGAGCATTTTTATATTTAATTCGAGTAATTTACGAGTCTAATAGAATTTTTATATTTTAATCTATTTTAATTATTTAATTAATAAAATATCTCAAATTCAAGTTCAAGTTAGAACACAAATAATTAAGCTTTTATTGAATATAATAATTAAGCTTATTTTACATATTAATCAAATTTAATTAAATAAACTTTAGTAATTTGATTTTTATCTCGAATCAAATTTGAGCTAAAAAAGTAAAATTTAATTGAATTTAAGTTGAATTTCGAATCTCGAATTCGAAATCAAATTCGATCTTAATATTATATCAGTTCGAACTCAAATGATTAATTTTTTTAAAATAATTTAGTGAAAAGGAGTTATTATCCTTCAAATTTAGGGACATGAATGAAATTATATAAAAAAATTACTATTAGATTAAAATATTAATATTTAATTTAGTAATTTAAACATTTTTAACTAATAAGAAGCGCAATCAAATTATAATATTGAATTCTGTTAATGACATAATTAAATAAATACAAGAAAAAAAAGAATTTTAAAAATTGAACTCAAAATGAAAAAACTAAGTACATATCTAAAAAATTAAATAAAATATAAAAAAAAGTCCCAACCTTTTTGTTAGTTTTTTCAATGAATTAATCAACGAAATCGAAGCGGTCGCTAGAGCTCGTCATAAAAAAAAAGCCTTCGTCGCTATTCTTTCGTAAGTCACAGCGAGGAAGAGAAAAGAAACCACTGTTGTCGCTGGCGACAAAATCACCGTCGTCATAATATTTGCATATTCCATCTTCCGCCACTGCCGCCTCCGCCAACACAACCAGTGAGAATACTATTTCTTTTTTACCTCAATTTTAATTCTTAAGCTTCAGATCTTTACCTTCTGTTTCCTGTTCCTGATTACCCTAACTTTTTGCGATTTTAATTATTTTTTCTCTCAAAGTTCAATTTTTTAAAGTTTTTTTTTTTTTTTAAAAGGTGCGATCTATCTTTTCTTTTTTTTATTGTAATAATAATAAATATGATAACATTTCTGTTAATGCCACCATATAACATCAGTTAACCAATTTTCTTTCTTTTTTTTTTTTTACATTTATTGCTAATTGTAAATTTATCTAAGTGTATAATTTTATTTAGAACTTTCTAGAAGGCTTTTGATGAGTTTGGAGAAACAATGGCAAGCCATTCAGGAAGAGGAGCCCCTGCAAATGGTTCCATCTATGTTTGTAATTTACCTGAGGGAACCGATGACACTATGTTAGCCGAATATTTCGGGACTATTGGCTTGCTAAAGGTATAAACTTTTACTTAAAAAAAAAAAAAGATATGCAGCTGTGTGCGTAATTGATCGCTTATTTTTGTGTTTTTGCTGATTTTGTAGAAAGATAAGCGAACTGGTCGACCTAAGATATGGTTATACAGAGATAAGGCGACGAATGAGCCGAAAGGAGATGCTACGGTTACTTATGAGGATCCGCATGCTGCGTTGGCTGCTGTTGAATGGTTTAACAACAAGGATTTCCATGGGAACACAATTGGTGTTTTTATAGCAGAGAGTAAGAGTAGTAATGCTGGCGGAGATCCTCCAACTGTGGCTGGTGATGGTGTTGGATTGGAGGAAGATGTGGCTAAGGACATAAATGGGGGTGGTGGAGGGGGTAGAGGTCGGGGTGATGCTTCAGGAAAAACCTGGCAACAAGAGGGAGACTGGCTCTGTCCAAATACAAGGTCTGTGATGTGATATTGGTGAGCAGCTTCTTCTTGCTCTTTTATAACACATTTTCTTTCTATTGTCTCTAACTATGATTGTTATGTAGATACTTCCTCATTCAAAAATTTCTGGTTGCAGTTGTTCCAATGTCAATTTTTCCTTCCGTGGTGTGTGCAACCGCTGTGGAACTGCTCGACCTGCAGGTGCATCCGGTGGTGGTGGAGGGGCTGCTGGTCGTGGGAGGGGTCGTGGTGCCCCTGACTCTGGAAGTCATGGGCAAGCGGTGGCTGCTACTGGTGGACTTTTTGGCCCGAATGACTGGCCTTGTCCTATGTATGACTTTTAGTGCTTGTGAAATGTTTCTTTTCTTCTGGTCCTTGTGTGGTCTAGGCATAGATTTTTAGTTTCTCCACCTTTATGTAGTGTTTACACTTTTTAGCACTTCCACTGTGCAAATGTTCAGAAATGGGCATTTTTTATATTCGAATGAAAAGTCTCTTAAAAGCAGCATTATTCATGTCAGTTCTTCCAACTTTTGTTTTATAGGTGTGGCAACATCAACTGGGCTAAGCGTACAAAATGCAATATTTGCAACACCAATAAACCTGGTCACAATGAGGGTGGTGTGAGGTATATGTTAACTATTTGACCTGTGTTAATCTTAGAAAATTAAAATCTTTGGGAAATTTTCATTGAAAATTGATTTACTTTTCTATGTTGTTTTGCTATAGCTGTATCATTTGCTTCATTTCATTCTTACTGTTAGAGTATCCTTGAGGTAATTTTGACCTTTAATTTATATATAAATAAATCATTTTTTCCCTGTAATCTTGCAAATATTTCTGTTTTCTTTAATTTACCTTTTGGTTTTGGCTGAGCATTGGTCACACTTCTTTCCTTTCTCTCTCTCTACCACCCCAAAATATGATTTGTCTTTGGTGTTGGATGAGCTTTGGTCATGCTTGATTGGTTTTGGATGAGCATTGCTCACAAAGCTCAGAACCATGTTTCACTCATAGTGGAGATATTATTGGGGTTACCATTACCAATGAAGCATGCCAGACTTCCTTCCTATCCCTGCCTTTCCCAATAAAGTTGCTAAAATGTTGCTATGCTTTCTTTGGAATGCATTATTCCTTTGCTTACCTATCATTAAAAATAAAGTGTTTTGTGCTTCCTTTACTGGAATGGGTGGAAAAATAAAAGCAAATTCATTACACATTCTAATTCTTGTTTTTGCATGTGCTCTTCCTCTTTCATAGTTAACAGATTTTATTCCTGATTACAGGACAAGCAATGGTCTGAAATGTAAACTAGTTTATTATTTTTATTATTTTAAGTATCCCTTTGAAAATTCTTTATGTGGAAAATAAATGTTTTATGCTTTGATATTGTTTGCTTTTTCCAATGTGATCTTCAGAACTCTGGTTTTAGTCATTTCTGTTAGATATGTTTCTCAATTATTTTGCTTCTGTTTAGGGCTCCATGCAAATGGAAAAATTTGGTAATAGTAAGGGTTCAATGTGCTGGGTTGGATCCTACTTCCTAATGGCGTGATTGATTTTTGTTAGTACAATTGGTATCTAACGCTCAAAAGTTCATTCCCATTATTTTACCATTGACTACTCATTTCTAGTATGTTGTGCTGGTGGCTACCTACAATCAATATGTGGAGCAAGAAGACTATAAGATGCAGGATATTTGTTCCTGAAGAAAATAGCTGTTTCATGACTTCATATATTTAATGACGTACACATTCACTAATGTTGAGTGAAAACTGAAAATGCAAGTAGTTTTACTATTATGACCTGAATTGAACCTATTCTTCAACACAGTGCATTCTAGTTCTTGTAAACAGTTAGCAGTGTTACTGCATATATATTCTTGTTCTGTGCTCCTGCAGCATTCCATGGTCTGGTTAATCGATTTTTTCGAACATTAGTTTCGTTTCCTCACCTACTTTCACTCCCACCATTCCATTGGTTTGACTCATTTAATGTGCTTGTCGTAAGTGGAGTGAAATGCTAGTAAGTTGTTTATGTCATTATGCCAATTTACTGCAGTTCTACCAAAGCTTTTGCCCCTTTTAGTCCTTTGATTTTTATGTAATGGAAAAGCTTCTTACATTTGCTTTAAACTTGTGTTTAACAGAGGAGGACGTGGTGGTGGTTACAAGGAACTTGATGAAGAAGAGATAGAGGAAACAAGGCGACGTCGACGTGAGGCAGAAGAAGTAAAATAAATCTCCACTATCATTACTTGAAGCTTGATTCATTATGTATCTTAATGTGATGGCAATTATGATCCAATTTCAGGATGATGGTGAGATGTATGATGAGTTTGGCAATCTCAAGAAAAAGTTCCGAGCCAAAACACAACAAGCTGAAGCTAGAAGAGGGCTACCAGGTTCAGGTCGTGCTGGCTGGGAGGTTGAGGAACTAGGTATTGGGATCATTACTTAAATAACTGGTTCATGTTAGGTTGTGGTATTTTAAGATACTGATTGTCATACATGTTAAGGCTATTACAATTTTGACAGCAAGACCAAGTGAAAGATTTATGGCCCTTCTACTTAGGCTTGCTAGGCACCCCACATTAGTTTGACTAGTGATTATGTTTTACTAAAAATATGTGGGAGGTAACTTCGTTTCATATCATCCTTAGACAGATAGATACTTGTCCAAAACTTCCGTATAGGTGTAGAATACTTGACACATCTAAAATTTTAAGGGCAGAAAATTTCAACGTAAGGTATACCTCTAAAACTTATCTATTGTTTTATACATATCAGACACTGTAGGGCTGTGCCTATTCATGTTTGTTTTGTCTATTGGTGATTTAAAACAATGAAACCAAAAAAAAAAAAGGAATTTTGTTGTCCTTTTTTTTTGTACCAACCAGATTAAACCTAGTTTTGTGTTAGTTTAGTTGTAATTTTGTTTTGGCCTTTTAGTTAAGCTTTCTCGATAAACAAGCCTGCCCGTGTATATGGTATACATTAGTTGTGACCAAAAAATTTATTACTTGAATGCACGCAAATAAATCGGTAACATATATGTACGAGTTTGTAATGGTTTAAATCAAACTGCAATATAACCTTTCCAATGTAAATAGCGTATGAGTTTGTAAATAAAAACTTAGAAAGAGAATGATATGTAAGTTTTAGCTAATTAATGAGAAGAAAGGCTCTTGAAATCAATCGACAATCAACTTTAAAATGCAGAATACCGTAGGAGTTAAAAAAATGTTAGCATTAATATGAAAAGATATATATTTACTTATAATGTATTATTGTTGTATTTTATCATGTATTTTAAAATAATTGTGTATATATACATATTTATGTATGTATATAACTTAGATCTTTTGCATGCCTTTCAAACCAGTGAGTTTATCAGGAATAGCTAGATTCAGATTCTCCGACAATTTCTTTTGCACCTTGGTAGCAACTTTGCTTTCGGCTCTATTTAACCAACCTTTAATTACAAACTGTTCATGTTGGCTAAATGAGTCCTTTACTTCACTCCTTATGCGGAAACGACCGTAGTCAATGATCTAGAGATAGTGTTCAAGTGTGAATTATTGTTGCACACAGTGCACTTGTGTGTGTTTTTATGTATATATGTATATATTTTTCTATTTCTTCTTTTTCCGATTGTTAAGGATTGTACAATTGCTTTGTTCGTATGCAAAGGAACACTTAGCGCCCTGGCTTGCTCTCTTATTGGGTTCCCACTGTGCCCTCTTCCATATTTCAGCACATAGTTATGTGACATTTGGGTGCTATTTTTCTTTTTCCCTTACGTCATCAACCATGCTACTTGGATGCTTGAAGATGAAATGGCCTGAGAGTTAAACAATTTCAACCTGACGTAAATTTCAAGTAAAAAAAAGTGGTCTTTTTTTTTTTCAACTTAAATAAATGAATAAATAAATAAATAAAAGGATTTCCTTGTTTCAGCTGCAGTGTATTGGTGTTTGGAGTATCTTAATGTTTTAATAAAAGTGATTGCCTGGCAGGTGTGACGGACAGGGATGGAAGAGAAAGAAGCAGAGATAAGGGAAGGGAGCGGGATGATAGAGAAAGTAGCAAGAATAGAGATCGTGAAGATAGGGACAAACGGCATAGTCGAAGCAGAGAGAGGGATAGGGAAAAGGATCGCGGCCGTGATTATGATTATGACCGAGATAGAGATTATAGATGGGATAGGGAACGAGATCGAGATCGAGACCGAGACCGAAGCAGGTACTTTTACTGAAAGGAAGAATCAGTGTCTTATTAATGTGCTTGATATGTCCTATTTGGTCCGGAAGATGGCACTTGATTGAAACTTTGGAGTTGAATTGGCATCTTTAATACTACTCTCTGCAGTTTGATGTATTTCTACATTTACTGTTGTGCTACTGTAGGAATCATTGCTGGCTTAGATTTTGAGGATGGAATATTTTTCAAGCAACCTTTTATTTTTATCTCCTTAATTTTGAACTCAGGCTATTTTTAAGCATTAATGATCCTCTCGGAGCTTTTTAACAGAACTATGGCAAAATCTTTTACTATTTAAAGATGGAACTTCGGAAATTTTCGCCTGCACATGCCAACAATAGAAATAGAAAATGAATTAATTAGAAAGAGTTATTAGTTTATGAAGCTTAGTGAAATAAACTTGAAAATGCCTTAAGCATAGAACCAAGCATTCGTTTTGGTTTAATATGACAGCGAAAGTTTTCGAGGTTCTCTCGGTAAGGAATGTTTAACATTTGACAAGGCCTTGAAAGAGGTGATCGGATTTGTGTAAAATTAAAATGTGATGAAGCAAATGGAGAGGCGCCTCGGCCATGAGGGGGCGGTGCATGTGTCGGGCTGGAAGCCTAAGTCTAGTTACTATGCAGCTTTAGGTGGGATCCGTAACACGATCTTTTTGGTCTAGGATTTGTGCGCGATCTGTGACACATGCAGGTTAACTGGTTCAACCAGGGATTGTGGCTGATTGAGATCAGATCATGTCAAGTTTGTTGAATTTCACGTGGACTTACAGAAATGGACTTAGGTCATTCCAATACGGAGCTAGATTCTAGAACTAGAATCTAGGAGCTGACTGTGTCTTAGCGTTGGGCGTTCAGGCGGCGGGCGGGACAGACAGATGTTCGTAGCCATCAGCCATGTGAAAGCCAGAGGCGTGGTGAGGAAAGGTCTAAAACAGAGAAGTATCCCTTTTATTTTCAAAATTTTGAAAACATTAAAAATGTTTGGTAAATAATATTATGTAAAATAAAAAATTATACAGACAATTTATTTGATTATTTTTCATAATATTATAACATATTGGTATCAAATACTTAAAATTTTAAAATAAAATTTTAAAAAATAAATAAATATAACATTGTATTTATTAAATAAATTTCTTTTATTTTAGTAATATTATTTAATAGTAATATTTAATAAACACAAAAATTGTACTTATGCGATACATTAAACAGTGAAATAGTACCAAGCCCTAAGAATATTCTGAAAAAGGTATTGAGAAAATCTTTTGAAATTAAATTTTGTGCAAAATTGGACTTGCATCGAAAATAAACACATTTTACCAAATAAAAAAAAAGTGAAGATATTATTGGCAAACAAAACTTTGATTTTTTATTTTTAAAAATTACACTAATAATCAAACTCATAATATTATATTCATATAATCAACTATTAATTACTAATTAATTAATTAAATCACACAATGAAATTTGAATTTAAGATCTTAACAAAACTTCGACATTAAAATTTGATATTATTGTTAAACAAAACTTTGATTTTTTATTTTTAAAAATTACACTAATAATCAAACTTATAATATTATATTTATATAATCAATTATTAATTATTAATTAATTAATTAAAACACACCAATGAGATTTGAATTTAAGCTCTTAACAAAACTTCGATATTAAAATTGATATTTAGTGCATTATACCTAAACAATTAACGACATACTTATCTCTTAATTAAAAAATTAATTTTAATATTTATTTTTTTTAGATTATGATTTTTTTATATTTAAAAAAATCTAATTCTTTTTCCCTTAATTAAAAAAAATTAACATTTATTTGGAAGGGTTATGTGGGTTTTGTCTTAATCTAATAGTCTAGTAGTAGGGTTTTTTTGACAATTGTATATGTATAGTTAGACAAGATCGTTAATTTTGTAACAGTGGATAAAGCATCTTATTTTCTTATATAGTTGCCAGCGCACATCCCGGCGCATATTGTGCACTTGAAATCATGTAGCAGGTTTAATCCATGCCTAAATGGCGCTATTATTTTCTACTTGCATTTCTAGGCTACTCTCCATATAAACATTTTCCTTTCTTTCTCTTCTGTCACTGCAGACCCTTCAGTGTTTCTCCATTGTCACATACCAACAAAACCCTACAGTGTTTCTTTTATTCTTTCAATGCAAATCTCAAACCTGGAAAGCAGCAATGCCTCAGTTGAGCCATCTTCAAATTCACATTAATGATCAACAAGCATTCTTTGTTAATGAGGTAATCTCAAACTTCTTTTGTTTGTTTGCTTTCTTTCTTTTTTTTTTTAACTTTTCGTTTTACCTTCAATACATAGAGCCACTCCTCTGAATATGTTGATTATTGAACGTTTCTGCCAGAATATTATATGTGCTTACTCAGGAACGTTGAAGAAGATCATTAAGCAGCAAAAGAGAAGAACCCAGATCGAAAATTCAGTTATAGAACTCAATAACTTTCCAGGAGGTCCAAATGGATTTGAGCAAGTTTCAAGATTCTGCTACAGCAATGGCAGAGTTACAATCACAGTTTCCAATGTGTCACTACTTTACTGCTGTGCATTCTTTCTTGGTATGACTGAGAAAGCCTCAACCAACAATCTTTTGACACAAACAGAAAAGTTCATTGAAGGAATGTTTTCTTGGTCCTGGAATGATATAGTTATGAGTCTAAGGAGCTGTGAATCATTTTTTTCATATGCAGATTCATATGGTCTAATCCAAAAGCTCATTTTTGCACTGTTAGCAAAGATTGCTCAGAATTTAGATGTGAATTTCATCACATCTTCATCTTCATCTTCATCTTCTCCTGAAACAAGCTATGGCATCAGATTCTCTTGCACCTCCAAAGGGACTCCTAAGTCAACTAGTCCAAGTAATATATCAGGCAATCCTTGGTGGTTCGATGACTTGACAATACTAAGTCCAAAGATTATTGAAAAAATCATCAGGAATTTGGGTGCTTATGGGAACCAGAACAACAGTTTTACATTCACAAGGTTCCTTCTCCATTACCTGAAAAGTAGACCCCAAGGTTCACCAAACTCAAAATCTGAATATAGTGGTCTGGCGGACACAGCTGTTCATGGGGTCATCCGGGTAGGAAAAACTAAATTTTCTTGCAGGAAACTGTTTTGGGTGTTGAGAGTGGTATCTGCTTTTAGCCTTAGCAAAAATTACAGGGAAGGCTTGGAGAGATTGATTGGTGAGAATCTCGATGAAGCAACTGTCGACGACTTATTGGTATCTGGACATAAGAAGGGTGTTTATGACGTTAATCTTGTAATAAGATTGATAAGAGTATTTGTCAGAGGTGAAGGAGTCTCTTTACAGAAGATGAAGAAGCTTGGAAGATTGATTGATAAGTACTTGAGAGAAATATCTCCTGATCAGAACCTCCACATCTCTAAGTTTCTTGCAGTTGCTGAGAGTTTACCTGATGATTGTAGAGATTGCTTTGATGGGGTCTATAGAGCCATTGATATGTATTTTCAGGTGACTATATTTCATGTATTTTTTCCTCCAATTTGGTTTGTTTGATGCTTTTTCTGTACATTGAAGGAAGTCTTAAGAACTTGTCCAAAAAAACAAAGGAAGTAATTCATAAAGTTAATGTAATTAAAGAATTGAAATTGAGAGAAAATATTAAAAATAGGATGAAGTAGACATAACAATTTGTATATTACTTTCGTGTAAAACATCGATAATTTATGAATTCATATTGTGTATTATGCAACGGTTAATAACTAATGTAATACATTTTTTGGTGATAATGGCTATTGCAGTCACATCCTACTCTCTCTTTCGAGGAGCGATCAAGGCTATGTAGATGCCTCAACTACCGAAAGCTTACATTTGAAGCAAGTAAAGACCTGGCCAAGAATCCTAGAATCCCACCAAATATTGCTGTTCAAGCACTCATGTCACAGCAATCCAAAGTACCCCAAAATGAGTTTGTATATCAGAGTCCCAGCAGCGGCAGCAAAGGCAGTCACTCCCATCTGGTCTTGTTCAATGGCAGCATAGACTCAGAAGGGAATGAAGGTCTGAAACTCAATTTGCAAAAGATGCAATGGAGAGTGGTAGAGTTGGAGAAAGCATGCAGGAAAATGATGGGTCAGATGTCAAGGTTGGTGGGGCATAATTCTACTGTTATTACCCCTTCTGACAATGAAACTTTGCCTAGATTTTGCTGAAATATCTTTGTATACTTGCTGAAAAAAGGGATTAGTTTTGGAGAGATTGGGTCAAGGGAGATTCACACTCTTCTTTTTTCTTTTAAGGGTTGAGAAAATGTATGATTACTTTATCCTATTGTAAAGTAAATTTGAAAGTAAAAGACTGTTGTTAATGTATCTTTTTCATACAAGAGATTTTAGCAAATTTTTTCTATAATTTTTTTTTACCAAAAATTTTTTTATAATTGAAGATGTTTTTTTATATCAATGCTTTTGACATAAAATTAAAATTTAATTTACTTGATTCATATAATTATATTTAAAAATAATATAACAAAATTAAAACTTAATTTTGTAATTTTTTTCTTATATCAAATTATGACTTTTTTTTATGAAAAATAAGAAGTATATGAGATAAATAATTTAAAATTGTATAGGCCAAGATTCTAAATTTGGAAACCGTGGGACGGTTTCGATTACTAGAACTTGTATTTTTTCCATTGTTAAGTTGATGAGAACGTTTTGATTTGATACAATTGACATAAGTTCACGTGATTAATAATGCCAAATTAGACTGGTACATATCCGATCCCGTGATCTTAATTAAATAAACAAATAATTCAATGAGCGGTGGAACTTGGAAGATAATATTTTTATTATTTATATAATAATATATACTATTATTAAAACTTTGATTCAATTAAGAGTATTCAATGAATCAAATCCTGAAACTTAAATTAAACGATTGAACATGTTAAATTGTCTAAAAAAATATCATTTAATTTTTGGAAACTTAATGAACGTTTGTATATAAGTACACCTCCAACGAGATACAATTAAACTTTAATTACCATAAATTAAATTTAAATGTTAATTAAAATCTACTTAACAGGAATTTTTTATTAAAATTATTTTAATCTCAACTATAATAATTTTAATAATTATTTTTTTTTTTTAATTTTATCGAAATTAATTTTACTCGTCCATTCAAATGCACCATTAGTTTACCGAGAGTCTAACCCAAATCAGAAGGCATTTGGCGTCTAGCATAGATCATTACGGTTGCATATTATACTTTCTTTGCAGGGCTGCTAACATGATATAGGGAGTCAAATAACTTTCTTTTCTTGGATAAATAAACAACATTCAAATACAAGTACCAATAAAAAAAAAAAAAGGCAGAATACATCTCTTTGGCAGGCAGACAAGTTCATTTTCCGCTAGGTATGCGCTATGGAAGTTTATGGTGTAAGAGAAATTTACATCTAAGAGCTACTGTTCTGAATCGGTTGTGAAGGACATCTTTCTTCGGTGAGCTGAGGGTTCAACATCTTACAAAGAGAACGATATTGCAGACGAACATTCTCACCAGTTCCAATAATCTTAAGCAAATACCTGCAAGAAAGTCATAAAACCAAAGGGGATACTCACCAGTAGTTTACTCAACATGAATGACAAGAACAAAACATACTAAAATTCTAACGAAATTATACTCCATAAAATTTTTTAGTTTGTAGTTCAGTTGCTTTAGACTACATTTCAGGTCATTTTGGGATTTGGCCTTGGAGCATTTCAGGTGTTAAGTTGTCTTAAAGTTGGTTCATGTCGCTTCAAACTCTGAATCCTTAAGATTTGGACAACTTCAGTTTTCACCTCAAGTTTGGTTGGGTTAGATCGGCTTTAAAGCCAATCAAAGTTCAGCAGCTCTGGTTGGCTTAGCTTTTACAGCCTCTATTTCATTCATAACTGGAATCTATGAGAGTGTTTTGAAGAGCATATTTTCACGCAATTGAAGGCTTCTAGAGGCATAGTTTTATGCATGTGTAAGATCATGATCAAGCTAACTCACCAGCCATTGAGACATTGGGATGTAATAACCGCTTCCTTCCCAACAAATTTTTCTGGTGTCCTCCTGTTTCCCTGTATATTTCATTGTACACTCCATTTCAGACTTCAGTCTAATTTTCAAGTTGAAACAGTCATGATTGAAAATTTGCAATGAAACAGACGGCAAAATGCATACCTTAATTAACACCTTCTCATTCACCGAAAATGGATATTGCACGGCCCTATGCAACCCATCATCAGCACCAACATCTCCATTCTCCTTCAGACAAGTATGCAGCCAGTGTCAAATTTGAAGTTAAAAACAAATTACATTTAGAAAGTCCCAGTGCTCATAACATTGTGTTTTTTTCTCAAACGTCTACAAAATTAACTTATCATTATCCTAATGAATTGTTGCTTCACATTTGTTTCATAAGGTATTAAAAACTAAAATCCCAAAAGCAACTATCCATGCCTAAGTATATCATATCTGACTTCTAATAAGATGGTTTATCTGCAAGGTATATTAAGTCATCACCCAGCATGAAAGCATATAATTTGTGAGGCTTCCACATGCTACCCTACATGATAGGAAGTTCGTCAACATAGCAATCATTTCACACCTAATGCCCAGTTGAGAGTCCTTCATAACATCAAGCGTTGATATTTTCGTTTTAGCACAACGAACTAAAACAAATCAAATTACTGTGCTTCAGTTGTACCTATTTCTCATTTTCACAATAGAGACAACATGTTTCAGATAATAATCAGATTCCAGGAACATTTTTTGCCTGTGTGGACAGTGGACCATCCTACATCTATCTCCTCCCATTTCTATTTGCAAAAAGACTGAAAGTTTAATATCATTAATGTTTATGACAGTTTATGCATGCCCAACGAAAAGTTTGGAAGGACAATGTGAAGAGGTCTATTTAGAGTATACCCTGCTTGATCTTCTTGATGAATCAATTTGTTCGCCAATTTCCTTTCGTCGTTTACGGAGAGCTGCATTATGGAATAGCTTTCGATTATCCTCTTGCTTCACAGCTACAGCAGCAGCTCTTAGAGCTGTTGGGGACAAAAGTGAAAATATAAGAAATGGGAAAAAGAAAAGGAAGAATTAAGAAAAAAGAGAAACACTCACGCACACAGAGAATCAAATTGTTCAAAAAGGAAAAGAGTGGGGAGGGGGGGAAAGAGCAAGGCATAATGAAAGGGAATATAACAAAACTAGTCACAAAAGGCTGGAGAAAATTAATTTAGCTATCAGAATGTACCAATATTAGGAATCAAAGGCCCAGTGTCAATGTCTGCATTGCAGAGCGTACATCTTGACTGTGATGCAAACAATAATTGTAGTTATGGTTCTTGTCTCTTCCCAGCTAAAGGTAATAAATCCATTGTAAACAGTAATGAAAAGGAAACAGCAGTGAATATCCCATAACGATAAGCCTCAATCTACAGAGCAGCAGTGATCTAGCCAGAAATTCATAAAAGCAGACAACTTTAAGCGAATGTATGTGTGCAAGCATACATACTAACAAATAAAAGATGCATGCTAACATAAAAACAGCCTTTAACAGCCTTTACAAGCCATAAAATGATGAGATCTCCCTTTCCTTCAAAAATTCTTGGTAGAGTTTCTCTTAGCACCTCTGATTTATACTAAACTCCTTCAATATTTATGAGTTTGCTGATTTCCTAATATGAATTTCATCCCATTCTTTAACTAGACTTAAGTAGACTTTGAAGGTGATTAAAGAATGTATAAGGTGATAAAATATGATTCAATTTTACCAACAGACACATCCTCCTAGAAGGCTGGATTTGGTGTGCGCACACACCTGCATGTATGAGAAAACCAACATTTAATGATCTAACTTGCTTCTTAATTATTCTTTCCAAGAAAACTCAAGAAATTCCAATAAGTTGAAAATCTTTTCGCATAAAAGGTTTTAGTATTTTCCTCAAACACAGGAAATGCAACTGCCTCCTAACAAATCTAGAGAATTGAAGTATTGATTAGATTTCAAATTAGTAGGCATTAGCCTTTGTCTGCCTTCCATTTGCTCTCTTTTTGAAGAAAAAGAGTGTTGGTAGTGGTTGGCCAAAGAGCATTACATCCTTCTGAAAAAGCATGCAGATGATTTTTTTTTTCAAATAATTTGTTCAACCTCTAGTTTGTAACTCATCCTACAGTTAAACAATGATTCACCCTCTAAATCCCCAAAAAAGATGAGAACAGTCATTTTAATGCGAAAACCATGCAACTTGAAAACAACGTAACATTTATGTTTTCCCCAATAGAAGATATCCAGCTTACCATATCAAGGACCCTCCTTAGCATGAGACCACCAAATGAATGTCCACAAGAAACAACCACAGCGTCTTCAAGGAATGCACCACTAAGCATCAAGGAAAAACCAAAGAAAAAAAAGGATCCATTAAGTATCACATAAAATGCATGAAAGCAATTTTCTTGTAAGAAATCTCAGAAATGTATAGCATCTGTGCAATTTTTTTATGTGAAAGAAATAAAACTGACCCAATCAGCATTAACAAGGTGAAGAGGGTGATTGAAAATGATTCAAAAAGTCAAAGGATATAACTATAAAATCCTAAATATGAGCTTCTAGCCTTTTACTATATAAATTAATTATGAGAAAAAAAAAAACCTATGTATTTATGTATTTCAGTATTTGTGTCTGTGCTATGCAGAAAAAGACAATAGATCAACAGAATCTTCCTTCCATGGTGCACATGCATAGGGAAAGGTATCAAAATGAATGTTTTCTCTTCTTACTAGTTTTATACAGATATCTAGGTTCATGGTATTTTGGAGTACGAAAAAATAGAAAGGCTGAAAAAGGATAATGCATCCTAGAAAAGGTGGATTAGTGCCAATTAAGCACAAAATGAGATAAGCATATTTAAGGTCGATAATATATGTGGGACAAAGGCCTAGAAAAGCCCTAGTGAGATGGTGGAAGATGTCCAAAGTCCAAAGATGGAGGGAAAGACTTGGCAAAACAAGGTTGGGACTTTCTACAAGTATTTACTTATACTGATTCGCTCACGACATGGGTAAAAACAATTTTAACAATACTAAGACATACTTAAGATATGTTTCGAAAAAAAACTTCAGAAAGGATACCAATTAGCTTAAGCGAAAGCAAAGACAAAAGCTAAGTTAAAGTGAGACAACTTACGACAAGGGATCCGAGAGAACACTTCTTAATGAAGGCTCCTTATTCAAATTGTTTTTTGCTCCCTGGGAATCCAAAATTCATAATAAGGTTTTCTAACATGAATTGTAGCCAAAACATGAATTCAA